CCAGCTCTGGAGACGGAGCTCTATCTCCTCTGTCTCCAGGTCAGCTCAGCTGTAACACTGTGTGCTCCATGCAGCACAGTTAGTGCCACGGACAACACACTGGAGCTTTCTGTGGGATCCTCAGGCTGCCGACCCCAGAGGCGTCCACGCCTCAGGGCTGGAGTGAGGGGGAAGCTTCCCAGCCTGGCCCCTTCTCCAGATCCTGCCTTCTTTGTTATGAGGACAGTGCTCATGGCACTCCTGAGGCAGTAACTCTGGGGAGAGCTTCTGATCAGCTGGACAGGCTCTGGGTTGTCCCTGAGAGGGGTTGTAGGAGCAGGAAGAATGTGGAGGGTATGTCCTCAGAGAATCTAGAAGGTTCTGCTATGAAACTTGCAATTATCAGTGTAACATGAAAATGAAAATCATTGTTTTTTCAAAACCTGGATGGTTGAAGACATGAATATGCCTGGGCTCACCACCTGGAAGGTGGCACCAGCATTCTTACCATCCTGAAGAATGCATTCTGGAATTTGGGTGGCTTGACTGTGGTGACCAAGGCTGGGAAGACACAGGTGTAAATGGCCGAAAACTGCCATCTAGTTTTTCAAGCTCTGAAGACAGTGGAGCAGCCAATATCTAAAGGGGAAGCAGGGTCGGATTCTGCAGACTTCCAGGAAGGCCGCTGCGTGGAGCATGCTATTACAGATCCTTGCAGATGCCTGAGGGATGGACACCACACACGGCCAATGTGCGTGAGCCTCATTTCCATCTCGGCCTCCCTCCTGGCCACCCTGTCCCTCTTGCTTACAGAAGTATACAGACTATACTCTTTTCGGCTTCTACAGACACACTCAGCCCGGGTCATCCCCCAAAGTAAAGGACAACGTTACTCTTGAAGAGTCCTCTCTGCTTTGCTTTTCCTCTTTGGATTTAGGAAATACGTGCTCTCGCTCTTGCATTTAAACACACACTGTATGTACATAGACTGTGTTTGAGAGCTCACCTGCTGAGGGGACAGGCATCTAATTATTTCTTTCCTCGAGGGGAGTTTGTTTATCTTTGGCATGGTGTTAGGCATGCAACAGAGATGCATAATTGGACCGGTATATTGAAGCTTTGATGGTGATACTTAACATGTTGAAAGTCTCGTCAGGGAGAAAGAAAACTGGACAGATAATTGCACTGCAGCTTGCTATACTACTGAGAGAAAAGTGGGGGAAGGCGGCTGCTGTGAGAGCTGGGGAGGCTGCTGGGAGGTGGAGGCACCTTCAGGATGGTGCAGCATCTGAGATGCTGGGAAGAGGTTCTGGGTTCAGTGGACGGGAAGACAACTGTGTCACATGCCTGCACTAGCATCCTAATATCTGGGAGGCAGAGGTCAGAAGATCAGGAGTTCAAGGTTATCCTCAGTTATATAAGGAGTTCAGGACCAGCCTGGGCTATATGCTGTGCTAGAGATCAATATATATGGATGACTTTGAATTCGCGACCTGCTTCAGCCTCCCAAGGGCTGAGACTACAGCTGTTCCCCCACAACACCCAAGCTGTGGCTTTCGTTTCAGTAGAGCACACTGACATTGCAGTGTATGCGGTGCATGGTCCCTGGTCCTTCCTCTACCACCATGCCGCTGGGTAGGTTCATACCTTGTACCAAATGAAGCTGAAGTGCAACATTCTCCTCCCTAGTACAAACTGCCACTTCCTATAGTCCACTGCTAGCATGAACTCCACATCCAAGAAGCTTTTACACAAATACAGCTTGGAAGTATCACCATCTCAGAAGGAGCAAAAAGAAATCCTGCAATTTGCTGACAGCTAACATGGTCCGCAAAACACAGAACTGCCCTGGTCTCCAGCCGAGAGTTTTCCAATCTGTTCCTCAGAGGCCTGTGGCCTTAGATGTTCTGACCTGCTGTGCTTTCTAGTACTTCGTTCGCTAATAGGGAATTGTAGGCCATAGGTCCCAATGCCACATCTCAGAAAATGTGGATGGCTCCAAGAAACCTCCTGGCCTGGTGAGCCACAGTACCATTGAAACGGGACAGAAGTGTCCCCCAAACACAACACTGCATTTTCAGGCTAGCTGGAAAATATCTTCAAGTCCCAGAGACAGAGCACTGGTCTATTTTTGATAGTGATTAAGAGTGCTTGGCTAGAGCTGGGCAGTGGTGGTGCACCCTTTAATCCCAGAGGCAGGGCAGGCTGATCTCTGTGAGTTCAAGGCCAGCCTGGTCTACAGAGCTAGTTCCAGAACAGGCTCCAAAGCTACAGAGGAAGCCTGTCTGAAAAAAACAAGGCTACTCAACTAGAAATGGCAGTCACTTGGGGATGTTTAACAGTGACTTTGGGACTTTGAAGGCATCAGATTTGAAGGCATTCAATTCTTACACACTGGTCCCCTACCCCCTTTTTTATTTAAGCATTAATCTATTTTAAGTGTTTGCTTGCATATATATCTGTGTACCACATACATGCCTGGTGCCAAGAAGAGGGTATCAGATCCCCTGGAACTGGAGTTACAGATGGTTGTGAGCCACCAAGTGGGTGCTGGGAACTGAACTCAAGTCCTCTAGAAGAGCAGCCAGTGCTCTTAACTGCTGAGCCATCTCTCCTGTCCTCCTTGCCTCCTTCTTATGTTCCCCCCTTTTTAATCAACCTAAAAGTGAATCCCTTATTTTGCTACAAAATATAACCCAGAGCATTTGGAAGCTCTCCTGATGCTAGCGCGGGTCTCCTGGGCACTGAGTGGAAAGAACACACTGCGGAGAGCTTCTGTTTCTGTCTTGGGCCTGCTGTCTGATTTCCTTTAGTCTGGGGCATGTGGTCCTCAGCTTATTTTCC